ATTAAAAAAAATTAACAAGCATGGTGGTGCATGCCTATAGTCCTATAGCTACTCGGAGGCTCACGTAGGAGGATCACTTGAGCCCGGATTTGAGGCGATAGTAAGCTATGACCAGGCCACTCCACTCAGCCTGTAACAGAGCAAGACCCTGCCTAAAAACAATAAAACAGGTCAGTAAGATGACTACTTGTCCACTGTGTTTAAGACGTGACACTCTGAAATCGCTCGCTAATCAGTTACACTAGTCTTTTCTGCTTTCCAGCTTCTAGAATTTTGTTATTCTCACTGCCCTGTTGTCATTTTGAGGTTTAAAAAAAATTCCTCTACCATTTTAATGGGAGTTTTCAGCTGGTGTGAAAGTAAAATGTATATGTTCAATACATAATCTTTACCATGATATATTATTGAACAGAAAAAAAGTCAAGTTGCTAAACAATATGATGAGTCCATTTTTATTAAAAGCACAAAAAACATGTGTAATACCTGAACATTTAGGGAAAATGTCTAAAAGGATATACACCAAAGCATTAACAGTTTAGAGCCACACTTCCAAACTGTGCCAAAGCAACCTGGGGTTACAGAGTGAATTCACAAGGGTGCCATAGGATAGTCTAAATTAGAAGGTAAAGTGATATTTCGTAACTGTCAAATAACCCATAAACTACTAGTTCAAGATAGTTCAGTTTCAAGTAGATCATGCTACGTTCCTTTTGATATCATGTCTTCACAAAGTTGATACCTGTTGATTGCTGTGATTAAAAAAAAAAATACTGGGGGGAGAGGACATGGGCAATATAGTATAACCTTAACACTTGTACCCCACAATACACTAAATAAAAAATAAATAAAAAAATACTGTGCAATTACCAATTGAAAGCAAAAAATGAGTGGACAAAATAAAAAAATTTATAAGGCTGGGCATAGTGGCTCACATCTGTAATCCCAGGACTTTGGGAGGCCAAGCAAGAAGGATGACTTAAAGCCAGGATTTCAAGACCAGCCTGTTCAACAATGGCGAGGACTGTCTCTACAAAAAGAAAATCAAGCCGGGCGCAGTGGCTCACGCCTGTAATCCTAGCTCTTGGGAGGCTGAGGCGGGCGATTGCTCAAAGTCAGGAGTTCAAACCAGCCTGAGCAAGAGCGAGACCCCGTCTCTACTATAAATACAAAAATTATTGGCCAACTGAATATATATAAAAAAAATTAGCCGCATGGTGGTGCATGCCTGTAGTCCCAGCTACTTGGGAGGCTGAGGCAGAAGATCGCTCGAGCCCAGAAGTTTGAGGTTGCTGTGAGCTAGGCTGACGCCACGGCACTCACTCTAGCCTGGGCAACAAACGAGACTCTGTCTCAAACTCTTGCTCAGGCTGGTTTTGAACTCCTGACCTTGAGCAATCCGCCCGCCTCGGCCTCCCAAGAGCTAGGATTACAGGCGTGAGCCACAGCGCCCGGCCCAAAAGGTTCATTTTCTTATTTAGCTTTCTGGCTCTGTGCTTGTGCCTTTAACACCTTTACAACGATTTTCTGCTCCTCAATAAGGAAAGCACGCTTGATCCTGTCATGAACACATTTAGCACACATGGAACCACCATAGGCCCTGCTGACATGTTTTTTTGTTTTTGACAAACCTCATAAGAACTTTAGGTCTCACAGCACGAACCCCTTGAAGTCTACCTGGGTACACACCACATGAAGATTTTGGTGCTTTCCCAACCTTCTTGGTATAAAGGTAAACAATTCTATTACTAGGGGTTTGGGACAGCCTAGTTTTGTTAGAGGCTGTATTGTAGGAAAGCCTACGACGATATGTCAAGCGCTGGATCATTTTGAGTGCAGCTTCAGAGGAACAGCCAGGATCTAGGAGTTTCTGAAGCTAAAAGAAGGGAACCTGATCACCACCAGCCTCCCTCTTGCTCCTCTTACCCCTACGCTACCTCAAAGGACTGTCTTAAGAGCTCTCGGCTCCTGCAACACCTCCCACAATTCTTTATAGCAACATGGAACACTAGAAGATTATTATGTTAATGCCTTTAAAAATCTTGAATGAAATGAAGTGTCACCCTAAAATTCTATACCTAGAAAAATCATTGTTCAAATATAAAGGCAGGACTAGCCCGAGCAAGAGCAAGACCCCATCTCTACTAAGAATAGAAATAAATTAATTGGCCAACTAAAAATATATAGAAAAAATTAGCCAGGCATAGTGGCACATGCCTGTAATTCCAGCTACTTGGGAGGCTGAGTCAGAAGGATCGCTTGAGCCCAGGAGCTTGAGGTTGCTGTGAGCTAGGCTGATGCCATGGCACTCTAGCCCATGCAACAGAGTGAGACTCTTATCTTTAAAAAAATCACAAGTATAAAGGCAGGCAAATATAAAGAACTTAGAGAATCTTGTTCTCATGAACCTTTCTTAAATTTTTTTTCTAAGAGCAATACCTTCCAATAGAACTTTTGCAATGATGGAAATGATCTATAACTCACCCTCCATTATGATAGTCTTTAAACACATGTTGTTAGTTACTAAGCACCTGAAATGTGGCTAATGCAACTGGGGAGCTGAATTTTTTATTTTATTAAGTTTAAATAGCTATGTGTAGCTTTTGTTTTAATGGCAGAGTTGTAGAGTATTTCATACTGAAGGGAAGGCAAAATAGTTTTTAAGGGGCTTTAAAATCAGATGGATCCAGCTATATGCTCTAGGCATGTGACTAACCCTAGCTTGTGTCTCCTCATTTATAAAAACAGGAGAGATGAGAAATTTCCAACTCATAGGTTAGCTGTGAGAGTTAAATGTTATGATGCCCATCAAATGTTGAGCATGGTGTCTAGCACATGGTAAGAGCTCAATTAATAATTTTTTTGTTTGTTTTTAGAGACAGGGTCTCTGTCGCCCAGGCCTCAGTGCAGTGGTACAATCATAGCTCACAGTAGCCTTGAACTCCTGGCATCAAGCAATCCTCCCACCTCAGACTCCCAAAGTGCTAGGATTACAGGTACTAGACACCATGCTCAGCCATAATGATCACTTATTTAAAAAAAAAAACCAAAACTTCTAGAAGACAAACTTAGGTCAACCAAGTGATTATGGCTGGAAAAATCACAGAAAAAAATGTTGGTGAGCGTTGACTCTATATAAATATCTAGGTGTAAAGAAATGTGAAAATTATGGTTACAAATGTAGCGTATCATTTATTAATGTGGACATTGTTGATAGAGTTTTGTTTTGTTTTGAGACTCCAGCCTGGGCTGGAGTGCCATGGCATCAGCCTAGCTCACAGCAACCTCAATCATCTGCGCTCAAGTGATTCTACTGCCTCAGCCTCCCGAGTAGCTGGGACTACAGGCATGCGCCACCATGCCCGGCTAACTTTTTTGTATATATATTTTTAGTTGATCAATTAATTCGTTTAGTAGAGACGGGTCTCACTCAGGCTGGTTTCGAACTCCTGACCTCAAGCAATCCACCCACCTCTGGCTTCCCAGTGCTAGGATTACAGGTGTGAGCCACCACACCCAGCCTAGAGCATTCTTTTTGATCAGATCTCTCTTCTTTGGGACTCTTTCCAGGAACTGTAGCTGCTTTGGCCTTCCCAGCCTGCCAGCTACAGTTCCTCAAGTCATGGAGAAACATGGAGGCTCCTGATGGTTCCTCTCACCTGTGAAATATCCTGGATACTGTGTAGGCAGTAAACTGGGGCATCTGTGGGGTTCACCCCATTTATTTTCCAAATCTCAGAGATGTCATTCTTCTTTGCCTGATGTGCAATAATTTCTTGAAAACTGTTGTTTCTTATTTTCATCTATTTTTTTAGTTGTTTCATTTGGGAGAGTAAATCTGATCCCTTTTATTCCATCTTGGCTAGGAGTGGAAATCTCAAAAGATTTACTTTTAAACTGAGGAAATATGCCAATCTGAAGTTATTAGTACAAGCCTATAGTAACTGCAACAAAAGACTAAGGAAAGCTTCTGTTTGGAAAAGAGTACTTTGACACTGTTGAGAGTTTGCTGACACGTGGCGATAAAAGCAAACCGCTTTGCAGTCGGTTTCATCAGTTTTTATCTTCTGTACAATCACTGCACATCCTAAATGCCTACACGTGGCTCTCAGCAACCCACCCTTGGGTTGAAGCCATGCATTGTAGCCATCTCCACTTTATTCTTCCAAATTGAGTATGTCCAAAACTGAATTCATCGTCCGCCATAAATCTGCTATTATTATATTTTCTACCTGTCAGGACATTGGATTGTAATTATCTGTGTTTATGTCTCTTTCTCCCAAACCAGACTGATGTCTTGCAAGAGAAAGATTACTTTATGTTCACAACAAAATAATGCTTATTGAATGAATAGTGCTTCAATATATAAGGCTGAAGTCACTTTCCTCTCTCGTCAGAAAGAGAATACTGCACAGACTTCCTGAGCACTTGCAGGCAAGACACTATTTGGAGCTGAGGCTACAGCGGCGATAGACCAGCCGCTACCCTCCCTGGAAAGCATTCCCAGCTGGGGAGGGTGGGGCACAGATAAAGAGGCTAATTACAATCCCCAGGGGTAGGATCAACCGGGGAAAACTAGAGAGGAAAAGCCTGCCCCAGGCCTCAAAAAGTGCAATCCAGAGCAGGAATGTGGTCTTTTGTTTTGGCCTGGGGTAAAGGGATCATGCAGGGCGGGGCCGTATAAAAGCTGAGGTCTGATTGAGCCCTTTTGGGTTAAAATCTTGAGAAGGTGCTGAACAGAAGTCTCAAATGCGCTTTGTAGAGCCTCTGCAATTTCGCGGTCACAATTCCGGCAAGTCCTGGCGCGTTCACAGGGAGGCGCGGGGTGGGGGACGGGCTGGAGGGTCCGGCAGCCGGGAAGGGACACCAGCCAGACACCGGGAACCCGGGAGCTCACCGCCGGAAGCGGGGGCACGCCGCCCCGGGCCGGCGCCGCTCTCCCCGCCCCCCGCACGCGGCGCGGGCGGGGCTGCCGGCGGAAGGGCACCGAAGGAGGTGACGACGTAAGTGAGCGCCGGCGTCGCGGCAGCAGCTCCAGAGGAAGCTCGGCGGCCGTGGCCGCTGCGGGCAGGCCGGACACCTCCTAGCTGGCGGGGCTTCCCCTAGAGCTGGCGAAGGCGGGGCCCCAGTGCCGGCTGCCGCATCGCCTGGGCCGCCGGCGGGGCAGGTGCCACGAGCCAGGGACGTAGGTAAGCGGGCGCCCGGGCGTCCAGTCGGCCGGATGACTGACAGACCGATCGCCTGAGCGGGCTGGCTGGCCATTCCCGCGCCAGTGGGCGCCAGCTCGGCGCCCCGGCCCCGAGGCCTGGAGCACTGCCCTCTCCCGCGCCCCAGCCGGAGGCCGCCGTTTCCCCTGGGCACAGTGTGCCTCTCCGCGGGAGCGGAGAGAGCTCCTCCCGAGGGACCACTGCCTCCCCTCCGTCTCCAGCCAAGCTGTGCGACCGCAGGCACAGGGAGAGCTAGTGCCCCCGGCCGCTCCTCCTGAAGCCCGAGAAAGCTTGGAGAGGAAGAGCTGCTGTTAGCGGCCCTCCAGCTCCAGCCTTTTTGGAAGTCAGGGATTTATTTGTTCAGACAGTCTGCCTCCTTCCTGCCTCGGTTCCTTCCCCCACGCTGTGGGACCCGTTTCTAGTGAACGGGTATGGCACAATTGAACATTAGGGTGATGGGAAGCGGTTTTTTCTGTTCTGTCTCTGCTAGGCAGTATCACCCCCCGTTGACCCTATGGCCACTCTGTTGGGGGTGGGGGCAGGGATGCGGAGAGGATGTGGGAGTTCTGGACTTAAGAGTCCCAAGAGCTGAGTTGAAACCTAGCCTACCATTTGGTGGTAGTATTTTTAATCTCATGCTGAGAAAATTAAATGAAGAAAGTAGAACCTTAGTCATGAAATGTTTTAGGATTTTACTTAAACTTGGTTTAACAATATCCAGGACAGTTAATGATAGGTTCTTAATTATGGGTTTTTTTTGCCTTTTTCCCCAGAATAAGCTAGGTATGGAGAAGGGTGCCTGAAGAGAGATCAGGCTCTTGTAAGGTCAGAACCTAACTGCAGCCTGTTTTGGGTGGGCAACATCAGGAAGAACAAGACTCTCTCCTAGTCATCCAGATGTCTCATCTTACTGATAAAACATTATTGATATATGAGAGATGAGTGAAATCAATTTTGCTCAAGATAGGTTTTCCCCAATGGGCCCTTTCTAGGAGAAAAGCTGAGAGGGGCTTCGTTTGCACATTGGCCCATTTAGAGGGAATCCTCTGCTTCTGAAACATTTCGTGTTAATTGAAAGTGTGCACAGAATAAATGCAGGAACTTGAGTTTTTTGAGTGACTGGATATTACAATTCTGAGTTAATTTGTGGAGACGCCCGTTTCTCTGTATTGGAGAAAGAATATTCACCACTCTGTAGTTTAATGGACCCCAAGTTAGAGAAGTAGTTGAAGGGCATATTGGGGGGAGATGCAGTGAATTATTTGAATGAGTAGCACTTGCTGTTACTGTTCCTTGATCAGGCAAATTAAGGATTCTTTCCTTTCCTAGGTGAGGGATGTTGGTGGCTGCTGTGCAGTGTGTATATAGCTAAGTGCAGTCTTTGGTTCCTTTGCAGAATTGTCAACTTGGTATTTTAAGTTGTGGTTACAGAAGGAACATTGAGGGTCATCTAATCCAGAAGTTCCAAAATCTGACTGGGCATTATAATTAGTTAGGGAATTAAAATACAAACCCAAATGCCTAGACTGTACCTCAATAGGTCTGAAGTGGGCCTGGATATTTGTGCTTTTTAAAAAGCTTCTCAAGTGATAATCATGATTTGAAAATTCAGGTGCAGATAACATTTCACATTTTTAGTTTATAAACAGGCTCATAGAGAGGAAGTGTCATGCCCAACTAGTTTGCTGCTTTCTTAATTTTCTTCTCTTTTTTCCTCAACAAGCAATCTTAATTGAATCAATACAGGTTTTATAGTGCCTTGAGCCCAGAAAAAAATTTTTTTTAAAGTCCTTTAAGTTGGTAGCTTTGTGTAATTCTGTTTTTGTAGTTTCTTAGGCAGTTAGACTCCTTAATGCTTTTTAATGAATTAGCACATGTTACATTAAAATGTCTTACTAAATATTGCATAGGTTTGTTTTTAGGGAGACTTAAATAAAAATTATATTGGCCTGGCATGGTGGCACACACCTATCATCATCACATTCTGGGAGGCTGAGATGGGAGAATTGTTTGAGCTCAGGAGTTTGAGATCGTCTTGAGCAAGAGTGAGACCCCATCTCTACTAAATATAGAAAAATTAGTATGCGCTTGTAGTCCCAGCTACTCGGGAGGTTGAGGCAGGAGAATTGCTTGAGCCCAGGAGTTTGAGATTGCTTTGAGCTGGGTTGACACCATAGCATTCTAGCCCCGGCAACAGAGCAAGAGTCTGTCTCAAAAAAATAAAATAAAAATAAAAAATAAATAAATATATATATTGGAACAAAGGTAGGTATAGGAAGTAGTAACAACCCAATGAAAAGTGAAGTTTAGGAGTCATGTGCTGGTCCTTGAAGCAGTCTTCTGTTTCTCTAAGGATTTGAGACCAAAGTTACATACTTGGGGCGGCAGGATGGCTCACGCCTGTAACCTAGCATTATGGGAGGCCCCGGAGGGCGGATCGATCAAGGTCAGGAGTTCGAAACCAACCTGAGCAAGAGCGAGACTCCATCACTACTAAAAATAGAAAGAAATTAATTGGCCAACTAAAAATATATACAGAAAAAAATTATATACTTAATCCACTCTATTTGGTGGCCGAATGTGATGAAAGTATCACCCACTAGGTAGCACAAATCCAAATTCCCAATCTTGATCTTTTTTATGGTTTCTTTATGCCCTCTGATTGCCCAATAGGCAATTAAAACAACTCATTTCCTACTACAAATCCATTTATTTTGTCTTACTTTTTTGGGATGGGTAACCCTGCCCGTTTGTTTACTATACAACAGCTATTCTCATTAATGCCTTATTACCTCTTGGAGGTAATGCTAGTGATGCTTGAGTTAACCTGTATAGTGGCTGCACTGCAAACTTTCACCCAAATATGAGCACCTTAAGATTGTTTAGGCATAGGGCTGTCCTAGTGTCAGTATCTCACAGGAATTGAAAGCTCATTCTATTTCCTTGTGTGTTTTATCTTTGAAGGACTGTTGGTATTTGGTGAACATGAACATACGACACTATGGCTGGGAATACAGGGGCAGAAATGTAGAGGGCCTCTATATAGCAGTTTTTAATTTATTTTTTATTTTTAGTGAAAGCAAGATTTATTCAGAAACTATAAAAAGTTAGAAAGTCTACTCCACAGACAGAGCAGAGGTTTTGTTTTTAATTTTAATTATATGTGTTCTGAGCACATGCTTGGAATTTTTCAATTTTAGAGTGCACTGGCTGGACTGTTTTATTGGAGAGAGTTCAATAGCAGTATCTTTGTCTTTTCTCCAGAGCTAGTTAGATTCCCCAGAGAAGAATCTCTGGATCTCCTCTTTGGAGATCCAGCATTCTGATAGTTAACTTGAGAGAAACTCTGGAGATCTTAGCATTCAATATGTAAGCACTCATGTTCGTTTAACTCAGCTGTTTTCATTGTGATACTCTCATTCTCAACTCCACCAGTTGAAATGTTTTCCAGTCTAGAAATCCTTTGTTTTACCCTGTAGAGCTGTTCTATCCAATATGGTAGCCACTAACCACATGTAGAACTTTAAATCTAAGTAATTAAAATTAAACATTTAGTTCCTCAGTTGCACTGGACACATTTCAAGTGCTCAGTAGCCACATTTGCTTAAAGACTATACCGTGTTGGATAGGGCAGATAGCGAATATTTCTATCATTGTAGAAGTGTTATTATACAGTGCAGTTCTAGTCTAGAGAATAAGGCTCCAGGCTTCTGCAACCTTGGTGGGTTTTGTGGAGTATGGGAGGGTATCAAAATTATTGACCAATCCTTTTGTTTTTATCATTATGTTCACACCCCTCTGATGCTGCCAAATCCTGATCTATTTTGAGGTACTATTGTTTAGATTGCTTTCCTCACTAAGCTTGAGATTTAACTTCCTTAGGTCTTTAAGTCAATCTGCATTCTAACTTCCAAAATGTTTTTGCTCTTGTCCCTTCCATACTACTAACATTTCTCCTACAAATGTCTGAAAATCCAGTGGACACTTTAATTCTTACTTGACTTTTCAACAGCTTTTGACCATTTCCCTCCTTCTAGAAACTTTCTCTAGCTTCCTGATACTATATTTACCTGGTTTTCTACCTTATCGCCCTGATCATTCCTTCTCATTTTCCTTTGCTACCTTTACCTCACTCTTAAATCCTGGAGTTTATCAGGACACTGCCCTAGGGTACATTTACAAATTTTTCCTAGGTGATATTTTCTATAGCTTTGCTTACTATAAGATGATGATGACTTAAACTGGAATTCCTATGATATCCTCTTTTCAGAGTTCCTGAACTGTATATCCAACAGGATGCATCCACTTGGATTTCTTTCTTTCTCTTTTTAATTGAGATGGAATCTTGAACTCCTGGGCTCAAGTGATTCTCCCTCCTCAGCCTCCCAAGTAGCTGGAATTATAGGTATCTAACAACATGCCTGACATTTTTTCTTTTTCTCCCACTTGTATTTCTTACAAATTCAACATGTTGAAATCTAAAAACATAGTCAGTATAACCTTCCCCCAATCTGTCTTTGTGTTCCATATAAATGATACCGATATCTGCCTCCTAGCTCATGCTAGAACTCTTAACCTCCACATATAGGATAAGAGTTCCCTAAGTCCTGTCATTTCTGTGTCCTGAGAAATCTCAAGGACATAGATTGATTCATTTTGCTAATGGTATTTAAGTGTTCTTTTTGTGTTTAATTTTTTTTTTTTTTTGAGACAGAGTTTCACTCTGTTGCCCAGGCTAGAGTGCCATGGCATCAGCCTAGCTCACAACAACCTCAAACTCCTGGGCTCAAGCAATCCTTCTGCCTCAGCCTCCCGAGTAGCTGGGACTACAGGCATGTGCCACCATGCCCGGCTAATTTTTATATATATATATCAGTTGGCCAATTAATTTGTTTCTATTTATAGTAGAGACGGGGTCTCGCTCTTGCTCAGGCTGGTTTTGAACTCCTGACTTTGAGCAATCCGCCCGCCTCAGCCTCCCA